GGAGATGCTGCTGCTCCTGTGTTTTGGACAGCCCAGGAGCAGGAGCAGTGCTGACCCCTCTGTCCCACAGGGAATTGTTAGAACAGGTGGGAAATGGTACCTCATCCCTTTCAAATTGTGGGGAATTGGCTCAGTGCTAAAAGGTGCCATTTACTGTAAAGTGTCTTGGAGAGTGTATTAAAAAAGAGTGTGACAGAAAGCTAGTCATGGGTGACAGGAAGGATGGGGGAATCAAAGAGATGGAAAGGAAAAGATAGGCAATGCCAGCTGTCCCTGTTCCTGCTCTGCTCTCTGTTTGACACTCAGATGCATTAACGCAAATAAAAGGCAAAGGGAATCCTTGCATCTCCATCCCTGTGTCATGCAGATCAAAGTGCAAATTGTGCCAGGTGAAATCCGTTTGCCAGCCTCTCTGAAGGTGGGGTGGAGGAGGGATGCAGGTTTCTGAGCTCCAGAGAACAGCTGGCATTCCAAGCCTTTGGTGCCATGCAGCAGAATGCTTTTATTTCCAGCCTGGGTATGAGGCTCAGAGAGAGCAGGCTACAGAAAAGCATCTCCCCTACCTTCTCCTGTCAGTGTAGCTGGATACTGAGTTTTGTGTCCAAATTCGGCATCTCTTAAGCGATTATTTTCACTGGCAGGATTGTCATCTTTGACTTCTCTACTTGGTGAAGTGTTAGACTGAAAATATATGGTTTATATCTGGTATTTTCCAGTAACAGCACAGGAAATTCTCTGTGCTGTGTATGGGTATATTGTTTCCCATGCCAAGATTTTGTTTGTGATGTATGCCATTTACTGTTCACAGTCCAGACTAAATTATTCCTAGAAGGCAGTTTGGGTGTCCCAATCCATATGGACTGCTCTAAAAGAGTTAACAAGTATGAAAACAGACAGTTGTTATGAGAGAAAATGATTCAAGAGTGATGATTTATCTGAAGCTAAGTTGGTCAGTACTGAGCTGAACCCAGGGGGCCAGTGAAACACCCAGACTGACTTTGGACAGGTTCAGGGATGTCTTAAATCCACCATTCTGCCAGGACATGGCTGGCATATCTCAGCCTATGGGAACTGAGTTAGAGCCCAAGCTGCCTGCAAATCCTACCTGTCCTCTGGCAAACAGAAACCAGAAAAAATTCAGATGTAGAAAAAGACTTAATCTTTGTTTCTTCTATTTATTTTTCCCCTCTCTGATCTAAGCTGGATGTTTTGTATCTCGATGGTGGAAGCAGCAGTTGTTGGAGACTGGAGCAAACTGATGCTTACATTGTTTCTGTACTTGTGATCAACATTTAAGTTAGAACATGTGACACATTCTGAGAACAGGTACTGCTGGAAAAGGGGCTGGGACATCATCATTTCCCATAAAGATTCCCCAGTCCCCAACTTTATGGCCAGGGAATGCCAGACTTGTGTCAGGTGCTGTGAACCATAGGGACGGATATGTTTGAACCTTAACAGCCCAGGGAGGCATCAAATCCTTTCTATTTATACATGGCCTTTCTCTGAGCAGGGGCTGGGACCAGAAACCCCCAGAGGTCTGCAAAGCCTTCCAGCAATTACTGCACAAACAGCATTCCATTGAACATTACACAGTGATCTCATGGTGCATGTTTTTCCCTTTGATTTTCATCTCAGAAATATTTGCTGTCTGGAGCAGGGCAGAGTAATCTGCAAATTCTGTGGAAGCAGGAGTGCAGCCAAGCAGAGGTGGCTGTTCTCCTGGAATGGTCTTTCCTATTTGAATTTCAGTTTGGATCAGTTGTAAAATACCAGGCTGCTCCCTTGGAATTTGCTTGGGGGCTGGTGGGACACTGTTGTGTGCTCTGCCTACAGCCTCACCAGACCATCCCAAATATTATTCAGATCCACTCCCATAAATCAGAAATTGTGGTGCTTGCAGCAAGGTCTCTTATCTTAGGAAGCTTTGGTTTGGTGACTGGAGCCTGGAAACTCCCTTGGTTTGAAATTAGGTCAAGAGTTTATGGGGAAAGAGGAGAGTGAGTTGTTTCTGGGGGGCACACAGCCCAGGACTGATGAGTGGTACAAAGAAGTGTTGCCAGTTTTTGCTGAAAGCAGATAATCATTGAGTTGCCTGAGGCCTGGAGCACAGGATGCCCCTGCACAGGACTTGGGAGCAGCATCCCAGTGGCAAGGCTGCAGTGTTTTACTCCTACTCTGTGTTTGGTGCTTTTTGTGAAGGAGAGGAGGAGGGAGCTGGGTTTATGCACTTTGAGCAGTATCAGAGTGGGCTCAAACGTGTGTGTACATTCATGCTGCCAAAGTCTTGCCTTCAGCAGAGAGAAATCTTTCAGTCCTGTGTAGAGTTTAGCAGGCTGCTTAAGAGCAAGGAACAGCAGTGATTGTGCAATCCTGTCAGCAGTTCTGTGTCTGGCCAGGAAAACCAGTTCTGCAGCAGCAAGGGGGCTGGACACGACAAGGCTTTGATTTTGTTGCAGTTTAAAGATGCAGCCAGAAAATATTATGTCCCTGCTATAAAGGAGGAGATATTTACCTTCAGGAGATTTTAGAAGCAAGGAATTGGAAAATTATATTAATGAATAGAAAGCAATAACACAAGCCAATATTCACAGAAATGTTATTTACCACTCTTGGATCAGGGCTCATTTTACACAAATATTGGCTGTTATAACAGCTGATGTGTCACTGGTAGTTTGTACAAGAGGGCCTTGGAAAAAAGCTTTAGGAGACATTTTCTTGGATTTCATTCCTTCTCTGCATGGTCACGTTTTTGCCTAAAATTCAATCATGTGGTGTACAGAATGAAATCTTGGGCATTTCTGGGGAGGGCTGCTCGTGGGCAGTTACAGAAGTGAAGCTCGTTCCGGGCTGTGATGAGTTCCCCTGTCAATGGATGTGTGCACTCCACAGCTAATGGGTATAACTCACATTACAGCATCAAAAGGGAGCTAGGATTGATTATTTTTTTTATTAGTATACAAGCTGAGACTTCTAAAGTAGGCTTGTGTAGTGAGGTCTTCGAGCAACCAGCCACTAAGGTCTCTGTCTGTCTCAAAAAGGCAGAGATGATAATTCCAGTGAGACTTTTAGAATCAGAAATCCAAAATTCTAGAGCTTTTCAGTGAAGCAACACCTGCTGATTTTTTCAAAATAGTATTTAAAATGCAAAAACAACTCCACCCCACCCCCCCCGCCAAAAATCAACAAAGTAAATTGCATTTCACATACAAAACAAAATGTTCTACCTGGTAAAATCCAAACATATTTTCTTCTCACAGTGTGATTCATGTCCTGACCAATAAGAGTTGTCTGAGGGTAATCTTGGAAGCCTACAAAATTATGACCGCACATTGCAATTACCAGTCAATTTAAGCACACTTAAACATTTATATTAAATTTTCAAGCCAACTAAATGGCACCACGGTTGTTTTCTTTGCCTCCTGTTCTAATGGAACAGCGGCCACAGGGTATCAGCTCATGGGGAAAAACAGTAAAGAAGTAAAAAAAGTGCTGACAGCAGTGGTGGAGAAGAGCCATGTGTAAGGTTCTGTGGTAAGGGGTGTTGCAAGACAGATATGTTTAGTACAGCACTAAAGGGGAGGCATGAAAAAACACAATTATAGTGATCTTAGCTGGCAGCCACTGACTGGAAATGTTCTTGTCAGCAAAAATAGCAACACATTAATGGCAGTCCATTGTTGGTGACATCTTGGGACAGGGCTGTGCTAAGAGGGCCTGTTACTGTGTTCTTGTAGTTGCAGAGGATGTATTTAAATATTAGAGTCACAGCCAAGAAGAGCTAAAGATAGGGCAGTGGCTTTGGCCTTTTGTGCTGAGGGTGGAGCAGAGCCCACAGACACATAATGCCATCCTGGAACAGTATTTTTTTAAAGCTGCTAATCTTCTAAACTTTTACTGGCAGAGGGGTACAGCCCTGTGTGCAGAAGTCAAGCCTATTGGTAAAAGACTTGCTTTTCTAAGACACACAGCTTCTTGTTGGGGGTGAGGCATTTGTCCTGGCTGAATTTGAATTTTGGGTCCAGTCAGGAAGTCTGACTGGTGTGCGTGTTTCTCCCAGTTAGCTCATACAGCTCATGTAACTTGTTTGGTTCATGTGGCCTCTTGTTATGTATCCATCATCCATTTTTCTTTCCTATTAGAGTGAAATTGGACACAGCCCTCCTCCTGCCTACACCCCTATGTCAGGAGTAAGTATTTCACATTCAGCCTTCATCTTTCAGGCTTTCCTTCTTTCTTCACTATTTTTTTTCTTTTTCAAACTCTCTTCTCCTGCATAAATGACTCAAAACCAGGTAATGAAGTGTACATATAAGGAATCAAATAGTTAAGATCTCCAGACTCAGCCTGGATTCGTGTGCAAACTCTTAAGGACCCACACCCAAAACTCTGACAGCTTTTCTTGAAAAAGGTGAAAGGTGAAAGGCTTGGATGGATCTGTACATCTTTCCTTCCTTTCTGTAGGCCATGATGATGCAAGTTCCTTGCATGTCTGTGCTAACAAGCAAAATCGTAGGTTGAGTTAAACCATTGAGTTGAGGTTCAAACACCGTTCAGCAGCCTGAAATGCACTTCCTGATGGAATTCCACATGGTGTGGGTGACCCCATGATTCCCACCACAGGACACACTCGAAGTATCACCCAGAATAAACAGAGATGATAGTGGTTTCTATCCCCAGTCAGGAAGAGATTTCCCAAACATGAGGTTTAAAGGGCTTTGGTCAGAAGTCAGGGGAGGTAGCCAGAGTACTAGAAGAGGAAACACCACCTTCACCTCTTGCAGCTGTGTGTGTCCAGCCTCCACATGCCTAGTAAGAGACAAGTTTGCCTGCCCCATTTCTATCCCCACTGAGCACTGCTGGGCAGATGGATGCTTTGTGGGTCCACACCAAAGCCTGGAAGCTCAGGATGGGCAGGGCAGGCACAGTCATGACTTGCTGTTGAAGCTTCTCCCCTCTGGAGCCTCCTTTCCCATGCTGTGTGTTCCTTCTTCCAACAGAACCAGTTTGTGTACCGGGATGGCGGCTACACTGCCGAGGTGCCAATGCCATACAGGGCTCCGGGCTGCATCATTCCAGAAGCCCCAGCTGCTCAAGGGGCCACAGCAGAGATTTTTGAAGACTCCTGCTGCAATGGCACGATGCAGAAACAGGTGGCAGCCCTGGCAAAAGAGGACAGCAGCACCCAGAGGTACAGCGCTGACCCCACCGTCTTCATTCCCGAGCGGGTCGTGCGGGGAGAGCTGGATGAGGATGGGTACATGACACCGATGAGAGACAAACCCAAAACAGGTAAATATTGCCTTTCCAGAGAGGCTGCTGGTCTAGCCTGGCTGCATTTCTTCTTTTTACATCAGCAGCTTTTCATCAAAAATGGCTTTATTTAGTTACCTATCAAGTTGAAGCATTCTGACTAGGATAATATTCCTTTACACGGGGATTTGGTTTTCTCTCCTTAATTTTCTACTTTGAAATGCTCAAGTGTGCCAGAATGTCAAAGCTAGTAAGTCCCCCTTTTTTTTTTTTTTTGGAGAAATAACAAGAGAAGTGCAGAAAAGCCAAGCCCCCTTCTTACCCAAACACAAATCTTCAGTTATTTCCAAGGAAAGGATCTATCTTCAGCCAGCCATAGTCCCAACTTTGATTTGTTTATTGATCTTCTTATTCTTGGCATTGTGCTTGGTAAATGTCATATTGAACCTATCACAGAACTGATACACACAGCTGGCATTTTATACCCAAGAGAAGTCTAGGATTGAAAGAACAAGATGTGCTTTAAAGAGAGTATCACTGCAAGGGGAAGATTGCCTAAATCTGTGCCTGCTCAGCGTGCTGCACTTCCTAATTTGCCCTCATTCATTTCTTCCACTTTAAGTAATGTTAGCAGTCATTTAGATGTAAGGGGATGTGTCATTATTAATTTGCTTCCAAAGCTTTGCATTAGCTTTAAAGAAATTAATAAATGCAAATGTAAATGACAAGTCACTGGTGTGTTTGCTAAGAATTTGGAAGTCACTTGTCCTTTGTGTTACATGATGGAGGAATGGAGGGAGCCCTGGGGCTTGACCCATGGCAGTAGCAGTTGTGGGAGCCTCCCTTGCAGTGATTTGCTTTCAGTGTGAGCCCACATTTATGTACCCATACAGGTGCACCCTGGGGATCCTCCGAGTTCTGCAGGGGCCACCTGAGCCCTCAGGGATGTGGCAGTAGCAGCTCAGGAGAGAAAGCAGCTCCTTCCTGACCCCCTGGGCACAGACACAGGGTTGTCACGGTGTGGCCACACACTGTGTGTTCCATGCCAGCTGCAGGGTTCAAATCAAAGCACTGCTTGGCTCTCATCACTAAAAAAACACATGTTCCTGCTATTCAGCTCATATTCAGTGACAGGTGTGGGTTCAGAGGTGTTCACTGGGTGTTGATCTTTTGCCTCTAATAGTTTTGGCCCCATTCTGGATGAAACCAGGTGACCCCTTGCACCAGGACTCTCTGTGGAAGTGTGTGCAGAGCCCTTGAGCAGCACTGTGCTGCTGGAAATGGGGTGTTAATCCACAGCAAGTGATTTGAGGCAACTGTAGCCTGCTCCATCGTTTTGCAGCTGATTCAAGGCTTTCTTGTTCCCTTTCCAGGGCTCATTTCTATAACCTTTTTTTCATAATGCTTCAAGGCCCTTTGTCCTTCAGGGATGGAAGGTTTTTAATCAGGAAAATTGTTCTGTTAGAAATGAAGCTGTCTTAAAAGTTAGCCCTTGGGGATAGGCTTTGTGCATAGAGCCTTAGCTAAGATTCCTATAGAGTTTTCTGGATGGAAGGACTGCAGAGCAGAGGGTTTGCTCATAGGTCCAAGTTTGCAGAGGCTGAAGTCATTCAGTGTGTTTGGGTCTGTGGATCATACAGCGAGAGGAAGTCCAGGGGAGCACAGGGGCTGTGGCTCAGTAAGAGCTGCAGCTTAGTTGGCAAGGGTGTTTGATAAGTCAGTCTTCCAAGGTGTCTGTTTAGCTTGTAAATACTTCATTTTTCACAAGTGTGTGTTCAACACAGTTGGCTCCTGATCCCATTTGGAGTTCTTAAAATGGCTGAGGGGGAGGAGGGTGCTCTAGTCCAAGTTCTTCTACACGGATGGATTACTACCACTCCAGGCTGACTTATTTTTTATCTTTCCTCAGATTACCTGAACCCAGTGGAAGAGAACCCATTTGTTTCCCGCCGAAAGAATGGAGATCTCCAAGCTGTGGACAACCCAGAGTACCACAGTGCTCCCAACGGGCAGCCCAAAGCAGAGGACGAGTACGTGAACGAGCCGTTGTACCTCAACACCTTCGCCAACACCTTGGAAAACACCGAGTACCTGAAGAACAATTTGCCAGAGAAAGCCAAGAAGGCCTTTGACAACCCAGACTACTGGAACCACAGCCTGCCCCCACGGAGCACCCTCCAGCACCCGGACTACCTGCAGGAGTACAGCACAAAATACTTTTACAAACAGAATGGACGGATCCGGCCCATAGTGGCAGAGAATCCTGAATACCTCTCTGAGTTCTCCCTGAAGCCTGGCACTGTGCTGCCCCCGCCGCCCTACAGACACCGGAATACCGTGGTGTAGTGGCTGTGCTCTCATTGAAGTGGAAAGGCAACCCCTTCTAGCTGCCTCACTCGTACTCTCTCGCTCCCCCTTTCTCCCTGCCCTTGACCCTCCTCCCTCCCTCCCTCCCTCCCTCCCTCTCTTTCTCCCATGAGCTTCCTCTTCTTGCCAGTTCACTCATTTTTGATATTTCTAAGTGAAAGGATGTCTTGGAGTTGGTTGCAGATTGGGTTGGGAGCCTGGAAGGAAGGAAGGAAAGAGACTGAAAGAAGGAGTGTACAACCTGGCCTTTCCCACTTTTGGCAGACACGGGGGTTGGATGCCCAGAGAAGCCAGGTGGTACTAGGAAAGGCCAGAGGCAGTGCTGCTGTTGAGCTCGTTCTCAGTGATTCAACTGTAGGGAAAGTCACAGAAAGGCTGATTTTTTTCAGCAGGAACTGATGAGAGTCTGTACAGCATTCCTGGAAATCTCCATGCAATTTCCATCAGGGTGAAAAATGGACAATTTTTATATCCTGTGTGATAGTGTAGTAATTGAGATTGAGAATCCAATTTCTTTCTCTAACACTTTCTATCCCAGCAACTGAAAATGGCTAACATAGCTTTTCAAAAACATTAAAATCTTCATTGTGGCTTTCCAAGAAATGATGATGTGACTCCCACATACAGCTAAGCCCCTCTTCTGAGCCACACCGTGATTTTGTGCCAATTCCCAGCCACAGAAACTCCTGCTCAGAACTGGTATGTGACATGACCATTTTTGTATGTGTGCCAACACAACAATCACTTTAAACACAAAACACCTTTCAGAAGATAGTAACAAGACCACACCTCCAATATATTCATTTGAAGCTAAAAACCAGGCCAAGAAATGAAGATTTGTATGCCAAAAGCTTTGCTTTCCTGTTTTATACCTGCTGGCTATGAACACTTCAAAAGATTGTCACTAATTCTTCCCTCTTTTTCTTCTTCATGGTCATGAAGGGAGCTGGAGATGCTGTCAGGCAACACTGAGGACAAGACAGAGAACTGAAGAGTTTGATGTTCTGTGGGGTGGGATGGGAAGGGTCCTTTAAACTGGAAGACAGACACTGGACTGGAGAAAACGCACATAGCGGTTCACTGGAAAGTTAGTTTGCACTTAACCTCTGATTTTATTTGAACTGTTTTCTGGATTTTGAATGAAGCAATATGGAAGTGACCAGCAAAATACAAAATAATAATTTTAAATTAAAAAAGAAATATAAATTATTTGTAAAGGATGACTGTGGAAATGCCAAAATGAAGCAAATCAAGTCTTTGGAACAATGTCTGCCACTTCTGAGAGGCCGATGCAGTGACTGCTTCAGAGAATACAGTGAGAGAGCAGCCAGCTCTTCCTGCTGCTCTATGAAGGACAGCAGAGCAAGCCCTGGAAAGGATCAGAGGAGGCAAATGTCCTGCTCTGGCTCGCAGCACAGTACAGAATACCATTTTTCTAAAAGGAGGATTACTCTGGCACAGAAGACAGTGCATATGAGGTTTGAGAAGTCAAAATGTGCATGATTTGCAGAGCTTTCTGTCAAAAATGTAAATAAGTATGAGTCAGTCTCCTTGCACTTAGTTCTGCTTTTATCAACCTCAGTTTTTAGGTAGACATCCCCTGACCTGCTCCTCTTTGGAAATCTCTTTCAAACCAGAGTTCTGGACATTTTTACTGATCTGGGGCAGATGGAGCTGGGAGAGGAGGTGCAAGGGCCAGAGACACCAAGGCTTGCTCCTGGCACACCAACACTGTGTGTGTAAGAGCATTTGTGAGCCTGCTTCCCACCAAACATCTTAAGGAACCTTTGGAGATCTTCCTGTCTCTATCCATCAAAGCTTTTAAAGGGAAGAAACAATACCTGGTGGATGGCAATCTTGGGTGATGCAACAGTATTTAAGTTTATGAGCTCCAGCTCTGTTAGGGCTGAGATCTTTGGGGTGACCTAACCTGGCAACAAAACCAGCAACAACCAGTGGTCTGGAAATGGCATCACCCTCCCCTAAATTCCTGCCATTCCAACAGCTTGCCACCTTTAGTCTTGGGGAAGAGGAAAGGAGTAAGAAACAAACAATAGCTACCTGAAGCTTAGTAGGTCAGCTTGACAAAAATGTGAAAAGATGTTAAACCTGGCTTGGTTGTTAACCTTGTAGATGGAAAACAAACTGTGATCACAAGGCTGGTTCAGCTGTTGGTGCACCAGGTGTGTCCAGGTGTGCATCAAGTACACAGCTGGAGGTTCTGAAAGCAGCAACAACAGGTACAGACCTTTGAGCTGGTAAAAGGAGATCTTGGGTCAAGTGGTACCAAGGTGGTTTGTGGTGATATGACCTGCCATGGGATAGATGGATACAATCCTGCACTGAGCATTCTGGTGCCTCTGGTAGCTCCTCAGCATCTTAGGGGGCAGGGGCATGTGCTGGGGCACAGAGGGTGGCACGAGGGCCTGGGTGGCTGCTCCAGGGAAGGTTTGCCCACAGCATGCTCACAGGGTGCACAGGCAAGGTCTGCCAGGCTGGGACAATGCTGCCAAGCTGCCTGGGGACAGAGACCAGCACAGCAATGTGGGTGTCCTGTTTCAGCAGTACCATAGGGAGGTGGAGAAAGGTTGATTTGTCCCTGAACAGGTCTTGTAACAGAGTAACTCCTAATGGAGAAAAAATATAAAATAAAATGCTGGCGCAGCTCACACGTTTGAATTCGGAGATGAACTCAGAGGCTGCTGGGGCAGAGGCAGGCACACCTCCAGAGCCAGGCACTGGGATGGAGCTGCTCACACAAGGTGAGGCCTGTTTGTTCTCTGGTAATGAAGTAGTGCTCATGTTAGAAACGAGCCCGTGGAGTAATCCAAATGTAAATACTGGTGGGGTTTAACAATTTAACATTTTATTTCTTACAAGGCTTGAATTATTTATTAATTTTATTTGTTGACTGTGGGTGTGCTATAATATATTAAGTAGCATGGAAATGCAGACGTTCCTGCAGGTGGGACAGCAGGAAAGCTGGAACAGGAGCTTGGGCTCTGCCTGGCAGCCAGGATGAGCCACACAGAGCCATGCTAGTGGGGTCTGGGATAGCAGAGGACAGGCAGAGGCTTCATGAACACAGTGATTCGGGATGAGGGAGAGCTCCACACACTGCAGCTTGTCAATTTAGTTTTGTTTTACTATTCTCTGAGCTTCTGATTTGAGTTGCAGTTGCCAAAACTGACCCTTGAGTTCCATGCTGTGCCAGTCACCCCTTGCCCAACAGATGGGCCTGTGTGATGCTGAGGCTGCTGGTGAACCCACCCTGAGAGCAGCAGATATCTGAACCCTGCCCCTTTCCTCTGCAGGAGAAGTTCTGAGCTCAGCTGGCAAGTTTTGCCTCTTTGCAACAGATAATCATGGCTAAAGAAAAAACAAAGGGAAACTGAGAGCAGAACTGTTTGGCTGCTTTAATTCCAGCAGAAACTCCTGGCTGTCCCTAGCTTATGTCTTTGCCTTACTGGGTATTGCTGCTGGCCTGGGGAAAGCACTTGGGCAAGTGCACATGGTAAAATCATGGCAAGCATTCAGCTGGGATTCATATAGGATGAAAGATGAGAGCCATGGTCTTTAATGCATAAAATTAAAATAAATAAATGACAGGTTTGGGGGGAAAGCACATATATCCACACACAAACTGCATTTTGTCAGCACAAAGCAGCAGGTGAGGATACCAACAGAACTACTTTGGATGTGATTCACTCTCTAGTGCTACAGAAGTATCTGGTTAGGGTTTTGGGTTTTAGAATGCAGTCTCCTGTTTATAAATGTTCTGTTTCCTCCTGTCATGGCCTGTGTCACAGGAGAGCAGCTTTTCAAGAGCACGTTTTTACCTGAGTGTGGATCAGCCATTATCCAAGGCCACAAAGCAACCTGCTAAAGGAAAGAGAGCAACATTTATTATTTCCTCCTGATCTCTTTCAGTGTTACTTGTCCTAGCTGTTATTACCTACCTGAGGGCTATTGCAAGCAGATGCTGGGGCCAATTGACTCACTGTAACATAATTGGCTGAAACCAACTCCTTTTACATTTACTTCTTCAGATCTTTTCAGATTTTTCTTTTTCTGCAAAACAGCCAGGAGGGATTTTTTTACATGGCCATTGGCTCAGATGTAGCAGAGTATTTACAACTATATTTCAAACAGGTTATCTCTCTCAGGTAGCAAGAGATGGAAATAAATCTGCAGTAGGAGCCACCATGTAGGTCTGTTTGAGGTACCCTGAAATCCTTTTCTGTGTACTAAGAAATGCTGTATTACCCCTGGATGTACCACTTAGTTGGTAGAAAATGTGCTTCTTGACTGCAAGGCTCATATGCAATGATCTGACACCTGTTTCCACTAAAGAGCTCACCCTCAGCCTGCACCAAGCCCAGCCCAGAAGGCAGAAAAGTGGCAGCTCTGGAAGAGCAGCTCAGCCCTGACTCTGTGGATCCACTCTTTCCATAGCTTTAGGTAGAGCTGAGCAGCACAGGGGAGAAGTATGAGTTGTGAGGTGAGTCAGCCTAGAAATACAGCTTGGTTTTGGGGATGGAAAATCAAATATTAAAGAAAAAAAAAATCTATTTTTGTCTAATGGTGTGTCAGTGTAGGTGTTGCACATCATGGTGGCAGCTAACAGAATGATGGGATTGTTTGAGCTCCTTTATTCCATCTGGGAGATGAAGAGACAAGGCAGAATGAGGCTGTTGGTCATGTAATTCCCCAGGATAACTGGAGGCATCCCCATGAGTTGTGCTTCCCTGGCAGCCCTGGAACCCTGGGCAGGCATGTCCTTACAGAAGGGACAGCACCCACAGGGACACACAGGGACACTCCCACTGCAGCCTGCCAGCCCTGTAGGGAGGAAGGAATGGGAGCACCAGAGGTGCCCTGGGCTGGCAGCTGGGCAGTGCCCATGAGTCAGGGTTGGCTGCTCCCACCCTGGCTTCCCAAGTGCATTTCAGAACTGTGCAGCTCAGACAGGTGTTTACATGTTTGGAAGGATGCTTGGCTCGAGGGTGACTGGTGAAAAAGAGGCTTTAGAATAATGGGAGCCAGGCCTGCAGTTTTCAGTCACCCGTTTGGTGGCA